AAAGCTCACCCATCTCGTCTTGATCGATGTTTGTAAACACAAAATTACGCCCCCCCCTCCTCAACCCAGATCCATGTCCAAACCATTCCGCCTAGGTTTCACTTCCTTAACAGCACCAGGTGATCTGTATAAGTAACTAAATTTTTAATTGGTTTTAATATCCTGCAACATATCAAACGTGTAAGTTTGTTTTTGAAACACAAAGTTTCAGAAACTGGTCGCGTCCGTCTTCATATAAGTGCGAAAGACAAACAGAACTAGTTTCCGGAATAAACCAAGGCAATGGATAAAAAAAATTAAACGTCATTATGACGCAATTTCATAAAATATTAAGAAATTAAGCGGATTCCTCGTTATGTAATACCCTAAATTTATTTTCCTGAGCAATTTTCTTTTCAAACAATAAGTGCTCTTTTCCATGAAAATAAGAAAACATGTTTCAAATCAAAGAAGGCAACTACGATATGAAACGTTTACAGTAGACTCGGAATTACGTTAACATTAAAATCTAGTTTTTGGAAAACAGAGTCTTAATTCCAAAAGTATTATAGAGACGCCAATAATGAAAGACTACTATGCAAAAACGACTCTGTTATGGTTTAACAACCAACAAACAAAAGATAAAAAAAATCGGAGTTCCGGCAGTGAAGGCCGTCCGCGAGCGGCTATTTTAAAACAGTGCGGCGAGCTGAACCATAGCGTAAATACAACGCTCATCCCATTGACGTCAGCATGGGCAGACACTACACGCTCTACCTGGCCTCCCGCAGAGATAAAATACATTCCAAAAGCCTCTAGCTTAATTCACTAAGATGTATGCCGAAAAAAAGCAGTGGCAAGGCATCAGTTCATAATTCTGATACAGTTACCGTGCTCTCCACAAGGTAGGCATCGCTTTCCAAGATTTAAATGTCTGTCAATGCTGCTTCACCTCGTCTCATGTTATTTGTGTGTGGGGCATTTCAATGGTTACTTTGTACATGTAGCACTGAACTGATGGATGACAGAAGAATGATGATTTGGAAGGAACCGGTAGTGGCCTGAGGTACTTAGGGAAGCTATGAAAATCCTCCCACGAGGCAGCAGATGTCTCAATTGCGATCAGAGCACTTCCAGAGTACAAGACAAGAGGATTACCACTGTGCAAACCCCCTTTGATATCCATTTCATTGCACTTTATGTGTGACACACACAGTCTCCATGCAGGAGTGAAATTATATAATTAGTGACTATTATCGTCATCCCGATATTGTATATGAGGAGCTTCATAACTTGTACACTTCTCCATGTATAATTAGAACGATCAAGCCAAGGAGGATGAGGTGGGCAGGGCATGTAGCACGAATGGGGGAGAAGAGGAATGCATATAGGATTTTGGTGGGAAAGCCAGAAGGAAAGAGGCCACTGATAAGACCAAGGCATAGGTGAGTGGACAATATAAATGGATCTTAGATAGATAGGATGGGATGGTATAGACTGGACTGATCTGGCTCAGGATATGGACCAGTGGAGGGCTCTTCTGTGAACATGGTAATGAACCTTCAGGTTCCATAAAATGCTGGGAAATTCTTGAGTAGCTGCAGATTTGGCTTCTCCTCAAGAAGGGCTCAGCTCCATATGTAAGTAAATCTATGTCAGTCACCAATCAGATTAATTTCTGTGAGTACTACCAACTCTGAGATAAGAACCCAGCTCTCCTGAACTGCAATGTCAGCAAACTCTACTTCTGTACCCAAACCCAAAGACCTTGGAGCACATGAATCTCAACAGTTTGCTCCTGAAAATCCTGGCACCTTTGCTGTTACAGTAGCCCACCACAAGATTCTCACATAAATCCCTGATGTAGGTGTTAAAGCATGCCCTGGCTAAGGGCCATCCCAACTTCTCACATCATTTATCAAAGCCAGCATCACCAAGAACTCTGTATTCACACTTTCTTTTCTAACAGGACTCCCATCAATCAGACAGCATATTATGGTGCAAATAGCATTTTCTGTTCAATATCATATACTCTGCGTGCAAGATACTGTATTTACGCAAATTTTTTGCCAAAAATTCAAGAGGGAAAACTGGGGTGCGGCTTATATTCGAAATCATACTTCATTTAAAAAAAATTATATTCATAATTAGCAATACCGGGTGTTCTACTCCTGAAATAATATTCCAAGAAAATTATTTTTTCTATAATTTGTCTGAAAATTGTGCTACGGCCTATACACGCACGCTGCCTATACATGCGTAAATACGGTAATTTGGCACTGAAGGCTCTATTCACAAAACTTAAACATAACTTGGTGGGTGCGATGAACTATAACAAAACTGTCAGGATAGTTTCTTCCAGCAGAGATTCTACATCACATTATTCAGAACATATATGTCAAATATGCTGTGGTCTCCTTCCTGCTTAGTTTGAAACTCTGATATTCAAAGATCTTGACTCCACATATAAGAAAGAGGCATAGATTCCATATGCTGCACACACTGACCTACCAAATGATTTCAAGAAAGCTGGCACGCACGCACACAGGTATAAAATTGCATAGAAGAGGCACAATGCACTGAAGACCTACATTACTGACTATTAATAAAAGTTGCAACCTAAAAATAATATAAAATAACAGAAATGTAACACACCTCATGCTCGACAAAGGATACTCGAAGATAAACCACAATCAGCATAGGTTAATGAAAGCACATGAACACGGAGATCCAAGTAATTGGCTAGTAAGACTGCAATTTGAATATCATTAACAGCAACAAACTAAGAAAAGCATCTCACATGGAATAAATGTTTCAGATGTTTGACAGGAAAAAAAATGCCATCACTGCTTTCCACGTTCTATTCTCAGTGGGTACATATAAAATACACGACACAACCCAGCCCTACTGAAGGGTGAACCATCAGAGATCCCTCACCTATGAACAGGAACACTGACATTAACTCAACTGAAATACTGAATACCTTGTGTTCTCCGTATATTATAAGGTTAAAAACATGTTTTCCTGCTTTAGTCAGTTTAAGTCCTGATCACAAGAGGATACAGTTTGTAGTGTTCAAAAATCTATAACAGCAGAGGCACCGAACACACCCAGATGTTTACGGTTACACTTGGCTGTAGAGGATGTATTTAAATAAGAGAAAGTGCTTCAGTTAAAAAATTGCCTACACCACTTACTAACAGGCAATACATTTCACAAAAAGTTACAAAATAAAGGAGAATGTCCAATATGTATTTCATTATGTCCTTCTGACATAAAAAATATAAACATCACAATTAAATTATTAAACAACTACTAAATTCCATTTGTATTTTACACATCCTGTCACCTTTCATATCAATACAATTCCAATTTCTTTTAACATGTAAAGAAAACTGTGGTAATTACAAAGAAACTGTTTGCAGTTTTGCTTCAACAACCTTACAAATGGGCAGTGAAGTAGATTCAATGACAAGACAAATTAGTATAAATAGTGGCATGATAAATAGTTGTTAACCACTGATGCAAGATAAAGCAACATTCCATGGTGGTACAGTAGTAAACATTTGTAATATTCAACTACTAAAGATAAAAATTTTCAATTCTTTCCATAAGATATATGAAAATAATTCTCAGCATCACAGCCTGATAAATAAGAGAGGAGTTTTGTTTCAGAATGTTACATGCAGCAATCAATCATTCTGATTTTGTACAGGTAAAACACCAGCCTGAGGGGCATGGGTACTAAAATATGTATGTATATTATGGCTCTTACTGACATAGCTCTGCAGGGACTGCAACAAATAAAAAAAGTAGTCTGTTGCATTCAAACAAGGGAAAAGTTAAATTTGGAATAAACTGGAGTTCTACAAGACAAAACCCAGACTCGGCCTGAGTTGTAACACAAAGTTATTTATATTTTTTTCCAGAGGAGAGACTACCTTAAGTTCTTTACTTGGCCATTCCCCTGAAGCTTCACTGAACTAGTGCAGTTATTTAAACGTCAATCAAAGTAAGGTTATGTAATATTCGTAAAGACAATTTTCCTAATTGTGGACATCGGTTATTCTGTTTTAGATCAGAGCACTGACATAAAGTTACAATGCAACTAAAGGACAGTGGCAAATATGAATTGTTCTACCTCATGTAACATATTATGGAATGATGATACTGCAATCTGGGATTTGATGCTATGTAATCTGGTAGGAGCTCAAATCCAACATACTACAGCCTGCTTATATTTGGATAATCTCAGTGTGAATGAATACTTGTGTGTTCAAAGAAACTGAATAACACCCGTTACACTACAGCCAATAAATGCAGGGATTTGCTGTGCCTATTAGAATACAACAGGATAATATATATATCAGGGATCAGTCTTGCATAGCAGCCTCTGATCTAGCTAGTCTGGTGGTATAAATACAGTTTCCCCTCATAAAGAAACACTCACATGTTTCAAAGTTAATCCAAATTAAAGTTATGATTATATCTCATTATATTGTAACAACTAATCTTGGTCATTGCATTTATCATAATCTATATTATTCCTGACTATCCCCATGGATTATATCAGCTGTACATAACAATTAGCTGCCTAACTAGATACAAATAAATTACAGATTAATAAATGATAAATACAGATTACAAATGCACACTCAGTATTATAAAAAAGACAAATACTGAAGAAAGCAGTCTTCTGGGATTTGGCACCATGTATATGTGGTGTTAACCGACGTTTCGGAGGAACGTATCGCCTCCATCTTCAGGGTGGAAGAAAAAATATAAGAAATCTGCAAGCGAAGAGACCATCTGCTTTTACCAGTTCTCACGGTCTCTTCACTTGCAGATTTCTTATATTTTTTCTTCTACCCTGAAGATGGAGGTGATACGTTCCTCCAAAACGTCAGTTAACACCACATATACACGGTGCCAAATCCCAGAAGACTGCTTTCTTCAAATTGTAAATTGTTTGTCTGCTGGGAAGTTTCTCATCACAAAATGTATGCTGACACTTNGGACACTAACTTACATGATTGCTCTTTCAAAGATGGACAACCGGAACGGAACACTGGGGAAGATACAAGATCAAACACCATGTCTGCCCACAATCTTCATTATAACCACCAATGGACAAACACTGACATCAAGTTCACAAGTCAGCGCTTAGAAGGCCATCTGGGATATTATAGCTAACAGACATAAACGTGGAGTATCACATCCAATACAGATGCAATAATTTGCTCCTATCTCAGTATACACAATCACACAGGTCCAGGAGACCTATCTGTGTATGAGAATTTACACATGAACTTTCTAGACACTGTAAAAGCATGACAAGGAGTATTCTGATTAGTCTTATAAACAAAATTATAACAGACCCATCACACACATAATATAAACAAAGACTAGCATCTCTTGTAGTCTGATATATGAAATATATTTCCCAAATGAAGAAGAAAGGATGTAATAATATACTTTCCATATAAACATATCAAGGAAAAATATAACTTCATCCTTCTTACTTCTATCAACTATAATCAATTAGCTGCAAATATAACATAATTTAGCTATCAAAGAATGTTAAAACACATTATTATAATAATAATAATAATAATACAAATAATTTTTTTAGAAACATTTCCTCATTAAAACAAGCCTGCCCTATTTAAATGGCATGATGTACATAACACCATTTTGGACTCAATAATTATAATACAACTTAATGGACCCCACAAGTAAGGCTCCTCGAGTATTTAAACATGTACAATTATTGGAATCTCTCTACTGACTGTTGGTGAAACTGAGTTGATAACATTCACACTACTGTTGCAAGGAGAGCCAAGACGCAGGTGAAATGTCTCCCCCGCGGCTAGAAATAATCCCTACCCGTATGAGAACGCCCTGGCTGAGGAAACCTAGTCTTGGCACCTCGTCCTCCCACATTTGATGCATGCCGTCGAGCATTGCGTATCTCCCGGTCCACTTCCAGCTCTTCTAAACGCTGTGTCAGGCTTAACTTCTGCTGTACTGCCAGACGCAACAGCTGATTAAGAGTTTTCTTTTCTTCTTCAGCTGCACCTAATTGACGCTGAAGTTCATCAACCTGAGTGACATACTCCTCACAGCGAGCAGCAAACATGGCACGCAAACCTACAAGTGTAAGAGATTTGTAATGAGTCGTTCTTCTTATCACACATTTTCCACCGTGGGCCATTAACTGGAATTTATATTATTCAATAGTAAAGGTAAGAAACAGTAAAACCACACTTCCACATAAGTAAAGGTGAAGATATCCCAGTGCCTATGAACCAAGACTGCATATACATGGAGTGGGGGTAAATTTCAAAACATTCCTTCTCTGCGCTACACAGAGGACAGCGGTCAGTTTCATACACTTAGCACATGTATAACTTAATTTAAACTTAAGACAATATAGACTCAGCACAATTGAAAACAAAGTCCAGAGGACAACACTTCTAAGAAAGGTGAAGTATCACGATGAACGGAGAGAATCACATAACACGGAACCGTCAAGATTTGTATGAAACTACGACATGATGAAATCTGCACATGCGGTAACAAGGAATATAATAATTTTCAGCTGGTAAACCTCACTAAAAGAAGTTATTCATGAAACACATATTAGATGGAAAGATGATTTTAGAATGCACCTCACACAAACAAGTCGCAAAAATGGAACTGGCCCATAATGAGAAATTTTGTGAGGTGACAATACTAAATCTTAAGGTTCTCTAAGAGGGAATTTTTTGAGCAGCTGTAACAATCAACTGTTTATGGAAGGATCCTGTACCTTTGATATGATTAAGGAGATCTGCATGACTTTCAAAAAATAATTCTGTCCCACGAAACACATACTTACTAGAGAAAGTAGCAGCATCTTCTTTGAGGAGCCTCAGCTCATTACGTAGCTTCATCATGGTCTCACTAACAATAGCTTTCTCATTTTCATACTTAGATTTGAGATTTGTGAGGGCAACTTCAGCTGTGTTCTTGTTAGACTTAAGAACAGTACGCAATGTTGCTATTTGTTCTCTCTTTGTTGAGAGAAGTGACTTCAGCTTTATAACTTGTTCCTGGAGTTCAGCAAGTTCAGCATCTTTGGAGTCACTGCTGATAGCTGGAATGTCCAAGGGAAGACATGTTTACAGTATTAGCAAGAAACATTCAATAAAGAAATTTTTAATGTGAGTAGTGGAATCAATGACATTGTGCCCCATTGCAGGCAAATGTTTAAAGTGTACAACAACACACCTTCTGATATGTTTCCTCGGTTACCCTTCATCTTGGAAAGTTCAATTGTATTCTCAACTGCTGTACGAAGGTATTTAATTTGGTCTAGAACTGTCTCAATGTGTTTTGCCATCCCAGCTGCATCATTTAGACTTTCTAGGTCTTTCAATGAAATATCTGTTTTCAGTCGACTACGAAGTAACTCTATCTTGGATATTCCATAACCATCTTTATCAATATCAGGACATGATTTTGTGTCACCACCTGAAAAAAAAAGCAAATTAACATTTTCATGTTTCTTAATATTTCTGATTTAGCTGGCTCTTGAATAGCCATATGTGATCTTTTAAAATCAGCGCATCGAGCAAGTCAGGCAGCTAGTCAGACATCCAGCCAGTTGGCCATTCATCAAAAAGTCTAGTCAAACAGCCAGTGAGTCAGTCTCATAAACAGAGACAAAGAAAACAATCCAGAGAGCAAGCCAACTACCAGGTTTTTCTTTTTTGACATATAAGAAATGCTGGCAGTCAACCTGTAGTGGGACCAAAACAATGCTGGAGGCCTCATATTTTCAACGTTCAAAGCTAATCCTCAAAACGTTCTACCAGGCACAAACCGCATCATCAAAAGAAGTCAGCAATACAAAATGTCATCTTTTTTCCTGTGTGCGTTTCACACTATCCATTTTCCTTGAAGTCTTTCTAGCCTCCGAAATACAGCCGCAATCAAAACTACAGAAGACAGACATCAGAATAGTCTCATATCACATATGATTTAATCTAACATTCATAATGCATGCAAAAAAAGGGGGGGGCCAGGAAAACAAAAGCGATTATTAGAAGCACTATGTATATTGCATGAATTCCTTCTTATACATTTAAAGATGTCATAAATGTCTTTAAGAAGTAGAATGGGTGATCAGTTAGTCAGTCCTAAATGTGTTAATTAACCTAAAACTCTCCTTCTGAATTATAAATACAATTAAAAAGTTGTAAAATATTTCTCTCCTGATTGGATCACATGCTTCAGGCATTTTTAAAATCTGTAAACAACAGATTCAGAGTACATAAATTATATGTCTATTCAGGAATATTATCATCATCCTGCCAAACATAATATTACTGCCTGAGAGATACCACCTCATAACAAAGTGAATGAACAAACCTATTGTTATCACATAAATTCTTACTTACTTGGTGTCATACCCCCATGTTTCTCATGGTCCAGAAGAACTCGACTGGGTGTCTCCCCATTAACTGTGCAGACATGATGATACAGCTGAGCCAGTTCATCTGATATTGTGAGCAAATCGTTCTGAGCAGTGTCCAAAGATGAACCTGCTTCCCCTGCCAATTCACCCAACAATCTTATGTCTGTCTGTAGCTCCAAAGTCCTCTGTTCTGCATCAAGTAACTATAATACATGCAATATTGTTTAATGAGTGATTAACTGGTTGACCTTTAGGTTAACAGTACTAGATAAACAGTGACATTTTTTACAGAACAAACATATGCACATTTTCCATAATTTGTTATCCAACATCACATTTCACTAGAATTGTTTTCTAATTATACAATGAAGCAAGTTCCTAACAACTGGTAACCCTGATAACCATACACATTACCATGTATAAGAACACAAAGAAATAAACAGGAGCAACTTAATAATAGTAAAATAATGCAAAAATTGGAGACAATGTGTATCATACTCTATTGTACTCTACTGACATTTAAGAAAGCTCACTCTCCAAAGAAAATACAGTAATAAAGGAAAGTTTAAAGATGAAAAAAGTGAACACATTTCATCTGTGAATCAGATCTCTGTAAATACCTCATAAGATGTCAACATGTCATCAGTAAGTTACAAAATATAAAATTACAATGCCAATTATTTCAAACAGTTAAGACCAGTGTTAAACCATTTGCAAGCATGCAAACCATATTGGTTGACAAATGAAGCTAGTGATGTGCATCCTGGTATTAGTAGAACACACTAAAAGATTAAGGGTGAGGAGAAAAGCAAGAATAAACAGTGAAAATAACACAGTCAGGAGCTTCATAATCTACACTTTTCACTCAATACTGTTGGGGATGAACAAATAAAAAAGGATGAGATGCTCATGATATGCAACACAGATGGAAATATTAAAAATGTGTATGTACAATATTTTGCTTGGAAACTTCAATGGAAGAGACCAAAAGGCAGACAGGATAACATTAAAATAGATTTCAGAAAAACACAGCATGAAAGTATGGACTGGATTCCATATCTATGACTGATGGATAACATTCATGTACCTTGTTCTTAAGGTTTGTCACTTCTGTGCGCAACTGAAGGGTTGCATCCGAGCAGTTCAGTCCCTTCTCCAACTCTTGGAGATCAGCACGCAACTGCTCTATCTCCTGCGATGCGAGCACAAACCACCGCCGATACTGAGAGACAGCTGAACTTAATTTATTGATTGCCTGGTTCTGGTACAAAAATATTAAATTAGTATTAATATTTCAACAATTATACAATTCCATACCTAAGATTATCTTATGGTTCTGAATATTAATAGACACACCCATATCTCTTTATATTTACAAGCTACAAGAGATACATTGGAATTATACAGAATGATCCAAAATTAATCAACTTGCAACTTCTTCTAGAGTGTTTATACAGATTTTCAATGTTTCTTTGACACTTTGCTACTACAAAGATACAAGGGGAGCTTGAAAATTAGACTACAAACATCACTCACAATCTGAAGATGCCTGTTGCTTGGGCACTGTTTCTTCTTCAAAGTAATAACTTCATATGCTATATATTTTTACAGTGCTCCACCCACTTCTCAAATACATGCAGATGGCTATTTCCATACATCATGTGCAAGGTAGCTTCAATGATTTGTTCCACTTCGGGGTTCAAGATGAATATCTGTCCTTGTAGCTCATGTTTACGCATTGGAGATGGCCAAAAATCACATGAGGCAAGGTCTGGACTGTAGGGTGGGTACTCTACAGGCGTCACACCAATTTGCACTCGCATTTCTGTCATTACATGAGCAATGTTCAGCGATGTCTTGAACCAAAAACCATCATTTTGTCAGAAACTCCCAGTTCATTTTTCCAGTGTTCCTCAACTGAAACTTAGTTTAACTGCATAGTAAACCCCATTCACAATTTGCTTCCAAGGTAGCCAGTGATAAAGGATAATGCTTCCTGAGGTGTGCGTGTATGTGGGGGGGATCTCGCTGGCCAGACACACTACTTGCTATCTCCTCCTGTAACTCCCGTCTATGTCCTCTTGTGTCTCAACTCCAACTCATCACACCCTTCAGGTAGCTCCTAGCCACAAGTCCCTAAGTGGCCATTAATGGAAAACAAGAGACAGCCAAGGATCATGCTAGGTGCCAGTCCCCCATCTGTTTACTGAGATGTTTATCTTAAACCTTTTCAGGTCTCCAAGGTACACAGGTAGGCAATTCAAGACCCCTTCTGGCAGGTCTTGTACAATGTCAAATCATGGATTTATCACTCAAAATACCTGCCTATCATGACAGAAGAGAACATCAGGAGCAAACTGGCGATGTTAATGACAACAGTGGCATCATAAGCCTAAGGACTATGTTGAATTATGACTAGACGGTCCTGGGATGGTGCCTCGCAATAGGCATGCCTTTCAGGGTGTGAAAACAATGTATAAACTGGTCATAACCACAATTAAATGATTTTAGAGAAGGAACTACTGTTACAGTACCCATCACTGGAAGGAGAAGAACATAAATGAAATAATGAAGTTGTTGGCAATCTTTCTGTTACAAGAATTTCACCATAAACTGGATAACAAGATCTATTTTTCCTGGAGAAAAATTCTGAAAACACCCATATTTTTGGAGGTTTTACCTTCAACATAAATTTATTATTCTGCTTACAATGAAAGTTACAATGTCATTTGTGGTTTCAAAAGAATGTATAAACTCAAACCCATATTGGACCATCTAATTACCAATTCAGGAGTATACCCCCCACCCCGAGTGTGATGTATCAGTATCTGTTCCAGAAGCTGTTCAGCAAACAGACTGATGCTACAGGAACTCTGCATCAAAACAGGAGGGGGGCCCATGTTGAAGTAAAGAGCGCAAAACTGAAAAAGGGAGAAAATGTTTCAGTCTACAAACTAATGATAACACAGGCCAACAGCTGTTTTGGTGCCGGGGTATTTGGAGCTGATTTCATATGAATTTGATGCCCTGAATTCAAATATGGCATTAGTTTTTGCCTAGGAGCTCAAATTTTTAAGATATAACATTTTGGTGAAATATACGTTACACTATTTTAAGTTAAATCAGTGGATCAAATAAAAAAACTCAACATGGAATTTTTATTACTATATTATAATTATATTTTTATTTTATTATATTAAATACAAAGATAGAGGAAAAAATCATCGACTATATATAACAGTCAAACCAACTATAGTCACGGAACACTACGGAAGCTTCTTTTTCGTGACTTTCTTGAATGTATTTTAGAACAGTCCCTTTTTAAACTCCAGCAGTAATCTGCCATCATGTGTGTATCCCATCTTCCTTGGTAGCGGTCCTCCATAGTTTTAATATCCTGGTGAAATCTTTCACCTTGTTCCTCACTGGTGTCTCCTAAATTTTCANAGCTTCTTTTGACAGGTTGAGATCTCTGATGAGGTCATTTAACTCATCCTGGTTAAAACGTTGAGGGATTGACGACATCCCTTCATAATCACTGTCACCTTCATTACAATCAGAAGGGTGATTAGAGGGAAAATACTCATCATACAAAAACGCTGATCTAAAAAAGTAGAGCTGGTAGAGAAAAACTGATTTTATATTTAGATTCAGCGCCTTAAATATAACTAAAATTAGTTCTAAAATCCTAGACACCAAAAAAAATTTTTTTTTGTAGGCCTGTGTAATGAAGTGGAAAGACAGAAAGGATGTTTGTCTTATAAGTACCATTCACAATGACAAATGATTCAAACTAGGATTGAAGGGCAAGCCATGGAGAAGCCCACAATAATCACTGATTATTATTCCAGGATGGGAGGTGTGAACCTCAGTGATACTTACCTGACAAGCTATTGCAGCACAAGGCAAAGGCTAAAAAATATACCATCAAAAGCACTTGTCATTTTACTGATATATGTTCTTTGAATTCATATTTACTTTAAAAAAAGTGTCAGCATTTCAAGGATGGAATTTCAAGTAAAACTTATTGAAAATTTAATTTCAAAATAACATACAATAGAACAGAGAGACCATTAGGCAGATCACCATAAACTGCCCCACAAATGAGGATAAATGCTCATTATCCCTCCTGTATTGCTGCCACAATGTCTAAGCAAAATCCATGTCAGTGTTGTTATGTGCTACAAAAAGGCGTAAAAGGAGACTGAGGTTCAACAAGTGGTTAAGAAGTGTTTGAACGTAAGGTTTTGGTGATTAGAAAGTGTATTATGGCGTGGTGCAATCCAAAAGTTCCCAAAATTTGAATTTTGCGAGTGAATAGTTATGAGTACATCAAAATACCGCTAGGTGTCTCCCTACACACCCTTCTTGAATCAGTGTGGCAAGCGGCATTGAGTTGAGTGGTTGAGTTTATTGTTGGTGAACGTATTTCCATTGTTGTGTTTCTGTGAGTTTGCAGTTTTGCGATGGCTGACCTGAGAGAGCAGTGTGTCTGTATAAAGTTTTGTTTTAAACTTCGGAAAACCGCTGCAAAAAAGAACCAAATGCTGAAGCAAGCTTTTGGTGACAACATTTTAGGCCAGACACAAACTTATGACTGGTATAAGCATTTAAAAAATGGCCGAACATCAACTGATGATGACGATCGTTTGGGACGGCCACCAACTGGCACCACACCAGAAAATGTCGCCAAAGTTAGGGATCTGATTCTGCAAGATTGTAGATTGACCATCCTAGACCTCTGTAACACATTGGGACTAAGTTATGGTACATGTCAACAAATTTTGTCAGAGGAACTGAACATGAGGAGGACTGCGGCGAAGTTTGTGCCACGACTGCTGCAAAGTGAACAGAAGCAGCATTGCTTGGATTTCTGCATGGAACTTCAACAGCAGCTTCAAGAGGATCCAAACTTTCTTTCGAAGGTTGTCACTGGTGATGAAAGTTGGGTTTATGGCTACAACCCTGAAAGTAAGCAGCAATTGTCACAATGGAAGAGCCCTTCACCTCGGCCAAAAGAAGTTCGACAAGTCAAGAGCAACATTAAGTCCATGTTGATCTGTTTTTTTTTGATAGTGATAGGATTATTCACAAGGAGTCTGTTCCTCCTGGTCAGACAGTCAATAAAGAGTTATATCGCAATGTTCTAAGGCATTTGAGGGAGGGCATGAGGAGACAACGTCCAGAGAAGTGGAGCACGAACGACTGGGTACTCCACCATGACAATGCACGACCTCATATGGCTTACATTGTGCAGGAATTTTTTACTAAGAACAAGATGGCAGTTGTTCCCCACACACCGTACTTGCCAGACTTAGCTCCATGCGACTTCCTTCTCTTCCCCAAGATGAAAATTAAGTTGAAGAGGTGAAGATTTGATACAATTGAGAAAATTCAAGTAGAAACACAGACAGTACTAAACACCCTAACAAAGAAAGACTTCCAGGATGCATTACAGGGTGCAGAATAAGACCCAGGTAAGACGTGACAGTTTTTATTAGTATATTTTGGGAACTATTGGATTGCACCACGTACATGTTCATACCATACCCTTTGTTTTAGTAATGTTGTGAAACAGAAGTGAGGATGGGAACAAGATGCGTACTTATAATAAAAAATGCATGAGAAAAATTACATCATAGCATCAGATAGAATTTAATAGAGAAATGTTGGTATAATTAATTATTAATGAAGGTTTTCTTATTTTTCAAGTTACAAAATTGACAGCGCATCAAGAAATGCCTGTCATGGCAGACTTCTTGTTATAATACAATAACAGACTGAAACTGACTAACACTGCAGTAGCATAACCCACACGTTGAGTAAAACTAACATTGAAAGCCAGCTCTCAACATAACCCTAAGCCATTTCTATCCATCTCTCATTCTTAGAATGAACATCCCTAAGATTCAGCCATGTTATCCTCTGTGCCTTCAACAATATATAAAGCTAACGGACACATGCATGAATGCATGCAAGGATGAACATAAGCACACTGTACTAGTGCACTTTTACGTTTAAGATTCGGGTTATACATGCTTATCATCTGTATCTGCAGCACTGCATAGCTCTTCATGCAGGCTTTAATTCACAATGATATTTATGCTTATCTTCTACTCATTTTCTAACATTAAGCACACCTCATTATGTTCACCAAATTGCTGGTCTGCTTTCTGGCACAAATGCTGCAATGAGTCAACGTGTGCAGCTAACTGAACCAAACGCGCCATGAACGCTTGCAGCTCTCCCTGGCTGCATTCAACAACTGCTTGAGATTCTCGAAGGTTCTGAGTCAAAAGAAGTTTCTCACTTTCTGCCTAGAAGTAAAACACAGTTTCCATAATTAATTTTCATCAAACATCAACAAACTTCCATCACTTCCTACTATTTGTGGGGGATGTTGATATGGGAGCTAAAAGGAAACAAGATGCCACCTGAGAATAACAGAAAGACAAGAGACCAACCAAAACAAACACCTTGGAGCAGAGTCCTTCTTAAGAGGCTAACAGCTACTTAACCTATTCCCTACATTTTACAGAACCTAAAGGTCACTTACTGTGTTCACAAGCTCTCCACTGTCCCTATCATGAACCAGGTGAATCCAGCACATGACATCACATTCTATTCTTTAAGATCTATTTTAATATAATTCTGCCATCTAAGATGAACAGGCCTTTGAAGGGATCTGTTCCTTTCAGATTTATGACTCAAATTTTATATGCATTTCTCATCTCTCCTACAAGTGCTACAAGTGCTGCCCACCTAACTCTCCTTGATTTCACAACCTCAAAATATTTGATAGTAAAGGTAAGGTAATGACCTTGTGCTCAATTACTTAAGCACCATGCCATGGAAACACATAGGGGAATGAAGGTATAGCTCTACCACCCTTGANTTGCCCACCTAACTCTCCTTGATTTCACAACCTCAAAATATTTGATGGTAAAGGTAAGGTCATGGAAACACATAGGGGAATGAAGGTATAGCTCTACCACCCTTGACCTCTGCTAGATGGAGGTGACTGAGGAGCTTCATGCCCCAGCTATTTAACCCCTGAGGAAAGAGCCCCAGAACTCATTGGACTGCAGACTGGGTGGCACCCAGAGCTGATCTGGACACTGTGGAGTAGAGAAAGATCCCTTGGCCTCGAGAAAAAAGAGTAAGAATTATGAAGCTCTTCAATATGAAATTTTCTCCATAAAAATAGGGGATTTTTTTATTTTCTTCTGCAATCAGGTATCTTCAAGACACAAATATAAAGTTATTTAAGGTTACTTAGACAACATTTTGTTAAATATAATCTGTGGCAGATTAAAATATGTCAGTAACCAGAAAACACCTTTATTCCTTCTTTCTAGGAAATGAGATATCTCAGTATGGAAATTTTTTGCTTCTGTTTGTGAACTCCCATGTTAAGAGGATGAGTGTTGCTATGATATAAATGGCATACTTCACAGAACCATTCAATGCATATAACACTTCAGGTCTCACACAAAAATTGTATGCAAGAAGGGAAATAAGAAATTATGTTTTTATAATATCACTTTCATTGGGGATCAACACTTCTCCACTCATCATTCTTGGCATTCAGTTCCCATTACTCAAAACACTGTTTTCTTGTCTATGTCAATACAATTCATTTATGATGAAGCAAAGGCAAGAGTGTTTCACACAAACTGGACAGTAGCCTTCAAATCTGTCACTGTAATACAAATGGGTGTAGTGTATTTAGTTTACTTTCAACACCTTTCCACGGTTTATTGTGTTAAAATATATAATTATAACATTATTAGTTAGCATTTAAGGGCTTTTCTCCTAACTTTACAAAGATCACTAATTGAGCACTGTTAAGCTGTCACTGCGTCCTCCTCCTAACCTAGTAAATTAAATAGAGGTATCCCTGTAACAGGCCATGGAGGCCCATAGGGTTGAGACGTTGAGGTTCCCACATTTTCTAGACAATCAGCTCATAGATGGCGGCAAGGCTGTCAGCCTTACGCGAAGGCCACCCTTTATCTCAAAGAACATTCCTGCTACTCACTTCTGTTAGAAGCTGAGTCGACCCCAGGGCCATACTGCGGCTGGAAGGATTAGGCAAATTGAAGAAATCCACCTCCTAACCTAGTACAAATCAAAAGTGCCTTGGTTCCTCTAATATAGTAAAGTTCAATAAAATCTCATTTAAAATTACAATAGCCAAAAAGCTGGGCTCACAGAACCACACATCAGTGTTTTAAATGGAAAGGGGAATAGGTCAAATTCAACAAATAGCATAAAAGAGTCATTAAATGGAAGGTTCTCTTACAGATATCATTAATTTGTATGACCACTTATTTAAAAAAATCAAGTTAAAACAATGATGGTATTAATTGCGATTGCTGGAGACATGGATTATGATATGTAGATAATCCAGAAACTAAGTTCTGATAGTGAACTGATAAAAACCAGCATTTATTTCCAAATCATTTATACTGCCATTTGATGTACATACCGCACACTACTTTTCGACTTAGTATCCACCATTGTTGAGGCACTCGCCATAGGGGAGCACCAGTGTTTCTATCCCAGCATTGTAGAATGATGCCACTTTCTATGCAAACCATGTGTTAAGGCTTCTTTGACCTCACTGTCGTCATGGAACTGCCAGCAACCAAGGAAAGTTTTCAGATGCAGGGACATATGAAAATCACTTGGCGCTAAGTCTAGGCTGTAGGGAAAATGATCGAATTGTTCCCAACCAAATGTCAAGACGAGATCTTGCATAGTGGTGGCAGTTTGTGGGTGGACAGTGTCATGAAGCATCCTAACACCCCGACTAAGCATGTCATGTCATTTGCTCTGGATCGCACAACACAGTTTCTTAAGCGTGTCACAATAGACACCTGTGTTGATGTTTGAGTCTTGATGCAAGAATTCCACAAGCAGAACACTATTTCTGTCCCAAAACACTGTGCACATGATCTTGCGAGATGAAATGGTCTGGTTGAATTTTTTCTTTATGGTGATGATGTGTGCTTCCATTCCATGAATTTGGGGATTACAGGCAATACCCATGTCTCGTTCCCTGTGACTATGTGGCTCAAGAAGTCATCGCCTTGTTCAATGTACTGTGTCAGAAAGGTCAACACACTGGCCTGTCATTTCATTTTGTGTTGATCTGTAAGCATCTTCGGCACCCAGCGAGAACACAATTTCCAAAAACCAAGTTTATCAGACAGAACTGCATGAAGAAATGACTGTGAAACATTTGGAAAATGCAGAGCAAGTGACAATATGGTGAATTGTCTGTTCTCTAGAATCTTCTCTTTCATTGAATGCACCAAATCTTCATTAACCACGGACGGTCAGCCGCTCCTCTGATCATCATGCACATTTTCACATCTATCAATGAAGTGTCTCGCTCATCTCCTTACCACTGAATCACTCATGGCATATTCTCCATACACCTCACAAAGTTGATGATGAATGTCAGCTGGTTTCATGTTTCTTGCATTCAAGAAACGGATTACAGACTACATTCTATATGCGGTGGACTTCTCAATTTTCTTGAACATTGTAAACACATACAATGCGTAAACACTGTTCAATTGTCTGCAAATGGTGTCCGTGCCTTCCAAAAGGACCAACAAACTCTGTAAGCATGGGCACCATAGTAACCGCAGTGCTGCAGTGGCAATATTTGCAAACGGAACTTATTTTATGGATACGCCTAACAGATGCTGCAGCACATTTCCTTTGGAATCAGCTTCTTTACACTCACCTGTTCAAGCTGCTTTTCTAGTCTCTTCAGTTCATTCAGGTGAATCTCACTAAAGAGATCCACTTGTTTTCCATCTGGTGAGTCAATGTCAGTGTTTGAGCCACTTTTTAGATCAGCTTCAATACGTTTCAGCACTGGCAGGTCATCTTCACCATCACTACCCATGGCCTGATCATCTGTAATACCTGGAAAGTTCAAAGATACAAGTGTATAGGATTAGAGGTTCTCACAGTGGCCATCATGAAGAATACTATCTTTTGGGATATAACATCATGCAGTCCATTTAAATTTATCCAACATTCTGGAGGAACATATCACATCCATCTTCAAGGTCAATGAATAGGCCAAGCAAGAAACAAGCGTGAAACTGGGAGACGATATGAAGAATGCTGCCTTCTGGGATGTGCCGTGTAGAGCCAGGATCTACATGGCATGTCTTACAAAGGAGGTGATATGTTTCTCCAAAATGTCGGTTAACTTTCAACAGACTACAAGGTGTTATAACCCAGAAGATACAACTGTGCATATTGGATAATTTCTAAATTAACCTATGGTCCTACAGCTCAACAAAAAATGTCTGTTTCCAGATGCACTCTCCTGACCTGATATACCCTTTCATCTGGTGAAACCTCATCTCAGTCTCAAAACAAAAGCAGGAAGCCTGATGGCCATAAGAAATTCTGACCAATGTAGGGTTTTTACACATCGTACCTCCAAAATACAGTCCACCCACAACTGGTGCTTGAGCAAACTGGATTGGTTACAATCAGACAACTGAAAACACATCCAATTCTACAGTGTTATAGCATTATGCAAACAAAATCCTGAATAGTTCACGCTGAATGATGTGCAAAGCTAATCTCACTCAACTCAACAAATCAAATATAGCTGCAGATCACAAGTATCCCAATGTTTTCATTTGCATCCAATTTTCCAACTACCTATTCCATTTTATGACTGATTGTATACGAGGGGGGACCCAAAAATAACCAGAAACGACCTGTTGCGCGCGCATGCTTTGTAGTTACGAGTTGTGCTGCTAGGTGGTGTTAGCTGGGGGTCTCCCGCGACTGTTAGTGAGCTGGCGTCAATCTGAATTAACCCTTCCGCACCGACATCCGTGTGCTGCACCGACCCTTTAAATAATCGTATGCCACCGACATCGGTGCAGTTCACCGACCTGCGCAGTGTTAGCTCTGAAGGACGTTGCTGACAAAACTAGGAAAGATATTCCAATTTTCTTTTCAGGAGTACATAGATTAAGGTTTCAGCTTTCAATTGGTATATGAGTTATTTATTTTGGACGAATTTTTAGCACGTTATTTTTATTTTATTTCGCTAGTGTAATAGTTCGTACTTTCGTCTCATTGCGCCTAGTTTGCATTGAAGTTTTTCAAATTCTAAGTAAGGAAAATGTATAAAACTATATATCTTTCGACTCTATGGTCTTTGCTTGTCTATACGAGTCACTCCCTGAAACCCCAGA